GTAAACAAAGGGTGTTGCAGACATCCAGCTGTCACATCACAGTGGCCCCTAGAGTGAGCTCCAAGGGAACTCTGAGTAGAAGCTAGATGCTCCCCCTCTTTGAATCATCAGACTGCAGCCACCCACCCCAGCCACCCACCGTGCACCCTGAGGAGACTCAGGATGAGAAAGCACAGGATACTGGCCCCAGAGAGCTGAGCTGCGTATCAAAGGAATGATTTCAGTGAGCCCAGACTCTTGAGTCTTCCTGTGCACAGGCAAACACTACACTCCTTAACTTGAGACATCTGGTTTTCTTTTATTAACAGTAATCTTTTGATGTCCTGACAAGGACTTTTGTTGCAAAAACTCCTCTGTATCCTGGCTGCCCTCACCCTCGCCTCTTCAGAGCAGTTTCTCAGTGTCATCTGAGATGCTTGCTGTCTGTGTCCCAGGCTTGACAGCCTCAGAATGTCCGCCGAAGCAAACACAACTCTCAACTTTAAGGTGCGCCCTTTTCTTTTCCAGTCGACTCCTCAAAGACTTGGCATATGCTGTGCTGTCTGCCTGGCATGCCCCTCCCTGGTTCCTTTCTCTTTGGCGTGGATGTCCCCTCCCCCGATGGCCCTCTCTAGTTGGCCTACCTAAGTCGGGGAGTCTCTTGTTGTCTCCTGGTTTGGGTGATTTCCTTTATAGCTCGTACCACCCACGAGCTTGTCCCCTTCTTTCCATTTCAAGTCATCACTGGACCCTCAGCACCAGGAAGGCAGAGCTGATGCTGTCTCACCCAGCCTCAATTCTCAGGGCTGAGCCCAGGGCCTGGCACGCATGTGTTCAATGTGTATGTCTGAATCGCACAACTGTCACTCTTCAGGCTTGTGACTCATGTCAGGAGCATCTTCTCCCTCAGTTGAAATCCACCGAGGGTACTCAGCCAGGCGTGGGTTTTCCCAGCAGCCCCCTCTTCACACTGTGTCAGAGACAGCAAGTTTGAAATTCCATTCGACCACACTGATGATACAATTGCTATTTTATAGATTGCATTGGATAAATACCTTAATGCCTTGTTTTAAACCCTTGTCTTTTTATTCTCTTTTTGTATTTTTAAATTCTATTTTCCCCTTGACATGGGCATTTTGATGATAACTGATCTCACTTCTCCAAAAGAACATTATTATTTTTATTTCCTTGTAGAGAATGTCCTTGTTCCTAGAAAGAGACTTTCACGATAAGCCCACTTGAGATTTCTGAGAAATTCTCCCTAAAGTGAAGTGTATTTTACAAGTGGCCAGAATGCCACAACATTAGCAAGCTTTGGTAGAGCTCAGGGCAGTACTTATTACTTATTCTTGCTTGAACTGCTGTTTCTAGCGGTGCTGCCTGTACTTTAAGAAGCTACTAGAATGAATGATAGGTGGTGGTGGTCGGTGTGGATTAAGCTCATGCCATTGCTGGTTTAAATAACAGTGATGTCATATTGATGGTCCAAATCCATGCCAGCCTCCTTTAACTTCCTGGGCGTTTTACTTTCTGACACACAGGAGGCTTCCTAAGATGGCATTTTTTCCCTTAATACACTGAGTGCATGTCATTATAAAGGAGCCAACACTCAAAGAAATTTGGCATGTAAAATCCTTTTGTGAAGTCTGAAGGTCACTTTCTTGGATTCTCTCATCAACGCTTTTCTGCCAGGGCAATGTGGTCAGCTCCTTAAACTACAGTGGCTTGCAAAAAGGTATTTCTATGTACAGCTGGTAGAAAACCAGGAATGAAAGATTAACTTGTAAGTCTGTGTGTGTATACAAAATAATGATGGTAGTTTATATTTATAAACACTGTAAGCTCAACGCTGAGCAATCTGCACACATTATTTCATTTAATCCTTGTAAATATTATGCCCAGCTCCAGATGAGAAAACACCTAGCTGTTAAGTGATGGGACTGGCATTTAACCACAGACAGCCTGATTTCAGTACCAAATATGCACACGTGTATACACACACACACTCCTACAACACACACATGTATCATATATACATTCATACACTCTAACATATTGTAAATGCTTAAGAAAAGGTTTCTGGATGGACATGTGACAATACTTTGTTAACCACAGGATCTTGGCAGAGGGTGTGAAATTGTGGTCAATGCCTACTTGTTACTCTTGTTGTTCACTGTTCAGTTGCTAAGTCATGTCTGACTCTTTGTGACCCCAAGGACTGCAGCACGCCAGGCTTCCCTATTCTTCAATATCTCCCAGAGTTTGCTCAGACTTATGTCCATCGTGTCGATGATGCCATCCAACCATCTCATCCTGTGTCTCCCCCTTCTCTTCCTGCCCTCAATCTTTCCCAGCATTGGGGGGCTTTTCCAATGAGTTTGGCTTTTCATATCAGGGAACCAAAGTATTGGAGCTTAGCTTCAGCATCAGTCCTTCCAGTGAATATTCAGGGTTGATTTCCTTTAGGATTGATGGGTTTGAGCTCCTTGCTGTCCAAGAGACTCTCAAGAGCCTTCTCCAGCATCAAAATTCAAATCATCAATTCTTCAACCCTCAACCTTCTTTATGGTCTGACTCTCACATGGATACATGACTACTGGAGAAACCACAGCATTTACTATATGGACCTTTGTCAGCAAAGTGATGTTTCTGCTTTTTAATATGCTGTCTAGGTTGGTCATAGCTTTTCTTCTAAGGAGCAAGCATCTTTTAGTTTTATGGCTGCAGTCACTGTCCGCAGTGATTTTTGGACCCACTCTTCTAAGCATTTGAATCCTTTGAAACAAACAAATATTATTCTTGTACTTAAAAAAACTTATTGAATTTGCTGAATGTGTTTCCACAAGAAATGCTTATTGAGTCATTGAATGTTCTGAGTAGCTCATTTTTTTCTTTTGCCTTTGGAAGGAGAACTAGGAAAACTGGGTGGAGTGAAAAAGCATACAGTTAACAGGGAACAACATCTTAAGACCTTCTTGCTTTTCAATACTTCAAAGACAGAAAAATCCACAGACAACTTACACCCACCCATGAGGCACTGTTTCTCTCAGCTCATTCCTGAGTCAAACCCATGAACTACAGGAGTGAGAGTACAAGAGAATCTGTTCATGGGTTTTTTCTTTTTTGTTCAATTTTCTTTAAACATTCTGACCTCCATAAATGCCTCTTCTTTGATGCAGGCTGCTTTGAAGATGCTTATGGCACCACAATACGATACCAAGTACTGGGCTGGTATAGCCGTGGACACTGTGAGACAAGCTCTTCGCCTCTGAAGGTGAACGCAGCAGGCACTCTGCTATCAGCGCTGTATCTTGCATTTCCATATCACTTTGCGGTTTGTGCATTTTAATGCTTCTTCTTCCCTCACTGCTTAGTGAACTCAGCTTTACCCAGACTGGACCTTGGCTTTCTTATTTGATTGTTTTTGTGCTCTGCCCTAGCTCCATTCCTCGGTGTGGCCACTGAGCCTTTCTTCGTGTTTGGCCATTTGTGTGCTTCTGGGAATTGTCTTTTCATAGCTTTTGTCCATTTTCCACTGGCTTGTCTTGTTCAATGCTTTATAGGCATTTTTACACAGTAAGGATATTAGTCATTGGGAATAGCAGTAATAATAGCAGATAAAGCAAACTGAATGCTACTCTGTGCCAGACTCTTTGCTAAGCACCTTACACGCTGCACTGAATTTTCATTCTCATTTAGGAAACCGAGTCACAGAGAGGCAAGCCTAGCAGGCTGGCTTCCAGGCCAGTGCTCCAAACGTGTTCTTATATTACTAAGGACCCCCTAGGCCTCCCACATGCCTTTTATACCCTTTTTCTGAGGTATTTTCAGGGTGACAGCTTCCTTTTGAAATCCACAGCATACCTTTTAAGGCTAATTGTATCTATTTTCAGGAATTCAATTGTCCTAACACACAGATGACAGGCTTCCCAGGTGGCTCAGTGGTAAAGAATTCCCTTCCAATGCAGACACTGCAGAAGACACAGGATTGATCCCTGGGATGGGGTGATCCCCTGGAGGAGGGTATGGCAACCCACTCCAGTATTCTTGCCTGGAGAATTCCATGGACAGAGGGGCCTGGCGGGCTACAGTCCATGGATCACAAAGAGTCAGACACGACTGAGTGACTGACACATAGATGATACCCAAATCAGAACACCATTGTCCACCCTTCTAGGTCCATGTATCTGTCTTCCTATGTCTCCTTCCAAAAATTCATCAGGAACTTCAAATTGAAGTGGCAGTAAGTCAGATCCCTAAATTAAAGGGAGGTCTCAAAGGTTGCAAGGGCTTGGGATCCAGAAAACCCAAGATTTGAATTCAGATTCATGCCCCAAGGGCTCATGATAGCAGTACCTAAGGTCTAAAGTCATCTACACAATGAGAATAGTAATAATATCGACTTTGCTAGGTAATGGTGAGGAATGACTCAAGGAGTGCTTAGTTCTGGGCACAGAATAACAAATGTTAGCTTTATTCCCCCTAAAGACCTGTTCTTCCTCCTGGTTTCTGGATTGCATGGGGCACCCAGTCCTTCAGTATGGTACCTAGTGGTCCTCGAAATGATTAGAGCCCAACCTCCCGAGTGGCTTCAGGTCAAATTCTGGCTCTACCAGTTTCCTGCTGTCAAATTAATTCTCCAAGGTTCAGTGTACTCAGGCGTGAAATGGACTAATGAGGGTAGGCCAAGTGTGGGATTTTGGGGAGATTAAATGTTCCAGTCCATGGAAAGTGCTTGCCACACAGTATGTGGTGCGTTCACTCACTGAGCATTTATTGAATACCTACTACGTGCCAGGCATATTCTAGGCACTGGTGACCCAGCGGTGTACCGGCCAGAAAACGTGTACACTGCCACATGCTGTGTATTCCATTTGCGATCTGCTCAGGTGGAAATTCTTTGTAATTTTCCACGTGACTGCCTTTTTCTTGTTTTTACTTTTTAAACTTTGCGCTGGTACCCATGTGCTTTTTTTTTTTTTCTCCACGGTCCTAGACGAGTGTAAGAAAGGTTTTGAGAATCAGGTGCCCCTGTCCGCGATATGGCCGACGCCGGCCAGTCTGCGGATCCGAACATCACCCGGGGGTCTCTGCTTGGGATTCCTAGAGAAGGGGTGGGCGGAGGAAGATGCCAGGGGCTTGCGAGCACGGCCAAAAAGTCTCGAGACGACCGCCACCTCTAGATCTGCTCGGTACCAACAAACACGATTCCGGAGGGGCCTGGCCTCCTGGACCTCGATCCCGGGCCCCAGCCTAAAGGAGGAAGAGGAGGAGACGCCAAGACAGGATCCTCGCCGGGGCCCCAGGAGACGAGGCGCCACACCCCGGCATGCGAGCGCTCCCCCTCCCGGCCTCTTCGAGCTCCGGCTCGGCCTCGCCCCTCCGCCCACACCCCGCCCCCGCCTCCCGGCCCCCGCGGCCCACCCCTCCTCCAGCCTCCTGGACACAGGGGTTCGGCCCCGCCCCGCAACGGCTTGGCCCCGCCCCGCTTTTTCCACCCAACGCAGGCCCCGCCCTCCGACAGGACCACGCCCACTAATCATTCCCACCCCGCCTCCGCCTTTTGGCCGCTTTCTAGGCCCCGGCCCCTCCGAGCTTGCCCCGCCTCCTGCCTGTCCGCACCCCGCCCAGCCTCCCGGGCCCCGCCGCTCGCCCCTCCCCAGGCCCCAAGCTACAACTGCTCCGCCCCACCCTCTGCTTCTTCCAGCCCCCCGCCCTCCTCTCCGCCTCCCCAGGCAGGCCCCGCCCTCCGCCATGACCACGCCCACCACTCATTCCCACCCCGCCCCCGCCATTTGGCCGCTTTCTGGGTCCCACCCCCTCCGAGCTCGCCCCGCCCCCTGCCCGCCCGCGCTCCGCCTCTGGCTCCGGGAGGCCCAGGCTAGGACCCGGTCGCCTACTCGTCCTGGGCGTCGTCCCACCCCTGTCTTCCCAGGGCTCTGGGCTCCGACTCTGTCCCCTACCGCCCAAGGCTCCCCACTCCGGCGCAGGACCACCCCTTCCCCGCCATCCCGCCCCGAGACCCCGCCCTCTTGAGCCCGCCCTGGCCAAGAGACACCCCCGCCCCACCACTGCTGCCCTCTCCCGGGTCCCCGCCTCCCGCGCCCCGCCTCGCGCGCCCCGCGCCCCGCCTCGCGCGCCCCGCCCCGGCGCGGGGACCACCCTCAGCCCTCCCTGGCGGGGGCTGAGCGCTCCCGGCACTCTCGGCGGTCCCGGCAACTCGCTTCCGCCGCGCGGTGGTTCCCGCGGGTCGGCGCACGGTGCCGGCTCGGGCGCGCTCCCAGACCGCGGGGAGAACCGCAGGAGCCCGCGGGACGCAATGCGAGCCAGGTAGGCAGGCTGCGCGCCCCGGCCGGCCCCTGCGGGCCGCTCCAGCCCCGCGCCGGGCCGCGCTCCCGCGGCGCCTTCTGGGGCTCCGCGGCTTTGCACGCCTCGCGGGCGCCGATCGTTTCCCCGCCGCCCGAGTTCGGGGTTCCGGGGGTGCCCGGTCGCGGCTGGCGCCGGACGGCTTCGGGAAGCCTTGCGCTCCCCTCGTGCTCCCCGGGGACTCCGTCACCTCGGTAGAGGCTCTCTGGGTTCCGGGAGCCGAGCCGCACTTACGGTCCCCGCGTGAGCCCGGCAGATCCCCCTTCCCTGGTCCTAGCGAGGCCTGCCCTGAGAGGTGACCCTCCTCGGCGACTGTTCGCGTCCTCGGGGCGCTCGGCTCGGGGGGCCGTGGGTGCTCCGAGGGCTGGAGGCGCCGGGGCTTTCTCTGGAGCGGGTCCCGGGCGAAGGGAAGGGCTCGCGGTCCGGGGTTAAACTTAGTGACAATGCGTGTTTCAGCTTCTTCGGGGACCCCCTTATTTTAGGATGGAAATGAGAACCCCGATTTCTGGCTTGGCCGTCCGGTGACCCACAGCCGCGAGGTGACAGCGGCGGCGGCGGCGGGCGGGCGGGCGGGGACGACTGGCGGAGACGCACGTTGTTAAGTGGTGTTTCGCGGAAAGCCCGCTCCGCGGTGCGGATTAGTGGTCTGTAGGACCCCAACCCTGGAGGCCGGTGGCCCCCACCCCGGGCCGGCCGGGTAGCTGGGGGAACCAGGCTGCTCTGGCCCTTTCCAGGGAGTGTCGGGCGGCCCCCGGTGCCGCCAGAGGGACGGCGGCCGGGCTTCCTGCGTGCCGAGAGGCCGGTGGAGCCTTACCGTTCAATGCGATTCAAAAAGGGAACCCGGGCAGGATGCTATCCGCGCTTTTCTTTCCAAGTTGGTGCATCTAGATCGGTACCGTGTGCTTTATCAGTGGTAAGAAGTTCACACATAACTTTTGTTCGGATCACAGCAACACTGTATTTTCTGGGTGGAAAGCATAGAAATGTAAACAGTAAAACAGAAACCATCATTGATGCCACAGTTCCTACCGGCTTCAGTATTTACCTTCTTTGATATTCATATTGCACCCGCTTGCTGATCTAACCGGTAAGTTTAGAAGTGGAACCTCTCTTGACTAAATGAAAGCAATCCCTTTGTGAAGCTCTCCCCCTCCCCCCTTCTAAACCTGATTGTCTCTGAGCATCAAAGTTTGGGTGTCTGGGCCTTTGGGTCCCCTTTGCAGTGGGTGGTGGTTTCCATGCCTTCTGCAGGCCCGAGATGGAGATAGAAGCCGGCAGTCAGCTAGACCACTGGCTCAGAGGGGATTGGCTTTGGTTTGGGTTCCTTGCCTTGTAAAAATGAAGGTAATGATTCTCAATCTGCTTCTCAGGGCACCATAAAAATTAATGGGTGGTTTGCAAAGCGTTTCGACATCCTTGCATGGACAGCGGCTGTACTTTAAGGGGCTAGGAAGCATTTCATTCGTGTCCTTTGCTTTCGTCATCAAATAAAAGTCTACCTCCCACCTGGTCATCCCGTCTAGGAAACGGGAGTGTCCAGTGGAGTCTGGAGAAGGTTCCCGGCTCCCTGCTCAGCACAGTCTGCCCAGGCCAAGTCCCTCAGGAAATGCGGGGTGGGGGGCTTGGAAGGAGACAGAACCCCCTGATCCATCTCCCCCATCTGCTTTCCGCACATGGACCAAGAGTGTAAGGGGGCTTTGACATTAAGGCCCCAGGGTTCATAGGCCTGATGTTGAGGCCACGCTGATCCAAGAAGGAACAGTTAGTTCTGGGAGGACTCAGACAGTGAACAACCCTGGCTTCCCAGGCATTTGTTTTACGGCACTCTTGTTTACCAAATGAACAATGACCCGCTCAGATCTGCGGTGCCTGAGAAGCTTCTGTGAGCTTTAGTTTTTTTTTCCTGTTGTCCCAAGACTCTGGCACCACGCTTTAAGGGGCTTTTAAAAGCAACTGGGAGCGACTCGGATCATTTGTTAATTTTGGATACTGAAAGCTGGAGCTGGAGCCGTCAGAGGTGCCACACAAGTTGCCTTTTGTTCCCCTGGCAAAGCAGCCGTGACAGAAGCGCCTCTTTCTGTAGCAGGTCTGGAGGGTTCCAGTTTGTCATTTGATAGTCTCTTTTTTTTTTTTTTAATTGTCAGTCCCACCAGCACTTTGTTCTGCCCAAGGGCTAGGAGCTGAGCACAGTCCAGACACAGGGGGCTTTCTGGAAGGACCCAGAAAGTGGGCTGGATGAGTTACTGATAAGTATCCTTCCAGGTTCCTGGGCTCTTAGTGTTGTGCCCGGAATGTTCTCTGAGTTGGGAGGAAGGAGGAGTCCTGGATTTTCTCCTCTGCTGTTTGCTAACTCAATTTCTAGTCACCCTGCAGCCTGGAATTGTTTCCCTGCAGGCTGCTTTCAACAGACTTTTTCTTATTCTAATGGTACTGGTGTGATAATAAGATATGCTAATAGGAACGTGGCTGACCCCTGGGTCCTGGGAGGCCGCTCCTGTGTTTAAATCCTGGCTTGCTTCCGGGCCGGTTAAGTGTGGGAAGGATGTGTGCGCTTCCTTCTTGCAAGACAGGAGCCTACCTGGCTTCCCTCCACTTCTTAGGGGAGCCCTTGGCCCGAACAAGGTTAGAAGCCACTTCACTGGGCCCTGGCTGACCTTACCGCAGCTGGGGGCAAACCACTGTGGCTCCCTGTTTGAGGAACCAGGCTTGTGTGTGACTTGTGGGCTCGGGGCCAGCCACGTGGGTTTTCCTTAGCTTGGTTATTTTCAAATTCGACACCTGAATTGGGCCACGTTGCAATTTTTCTTCTGAGAATTGGAGTCAGTCCCCTGGGATGTGTTTCCTAAGGCCCTGGAGATGGGCACTGGAACTGCTTTGTCCTGAGGGCGCCGCCTGACAGCCGGGAACTGGGGCGGGTCACTGAGCAGCTAAATAGACTTTACCCTGACCTCAAGGCCAGGAGGGGACCCCGGGGCAGTCCACTGTCGACACTCAGCTTCCGGCAAGCTGGATCCTGCCTCCCCACTGCTTGCACAATAGAAGCCCCACATTCTGCCTTCACTCTCCAGAGAGTGACAGAAAAAATAATTCAGCAAGCCCCTAAACACCCAACTACTTACCAGGGTCTTCCAGGGAGTCTGAGCCTGCTTCTCCGTGGACTCTGCGGGCATCGTGTGTTACTGGACAGCATCTGATGCATTCAGGACCAGAGTCTGGGGGAAGGATGTTGACAACAGAGTGTGTGATGTGATTCTAGGAAGGGTGAAATTCTTTGTAGTTCATCACCGCCTCCCATCTGCCAAGTGTACAAAATATCTTCCCAAACCACTGGTAAGCAAATATGGACTTGTAAGTTGAGATTGGGGTGTTGTAATAAGGATCCCTTGGGCTTCCCAGATAGCACGGTGGTAAAGAATCTGCCTGCAGGAGTCATGGGTTCGATCTCTGGGTCAGGAAGATCCCCTGGAGGAGGAAACGGTAACCCACTCCAGTATTCTCGCCTGGGAGATTGCGTGGACAGAGAAGCCTGGCGAGCTACAGCCCATGGGGTCACAAAGAGTTGGACACATCTGGGTACAAAACAGCGATTGCTTGCTAAGGGTTTGTGATGGACCTGATCCAGCATGCAGACTTTAAAATCCTCACGAAAACCGTGAGGGTTTCCCTTTTACAGGAAAACCACCGGCACTGAAATGGCTCTGCCAGCCTCATTGTCCAGTAAGTGCTCAAGCTGGGGTTTAAGCCTGGACCTGCCTGAGCCCAGAGCTCTTCATCACATCTCCCCGTGTGCCGAAATGAAAGAAACAAGTCACACCTTCGGGGGCGTGAAGACACAGGCATGGAAATAGCAGAGTGCCTACCTCCTTTACACAGTGATAACACAAAGGTGGTGAAATCTTCAAAACCTGAGAAGTCTTTGCAGCCTAAATGGAAGGCAGTCTGTTTGCACCTTTGTCCCCCAGGGGGCCGTGCCCTTGCACCCTATCTACAAGGTAAAGTTTGATGTATTTGGAAGATGGTGATTTTGAAGTTGAGGACAGCTCAGAATCTGCCCTGAAGTTTGTCCTTGTACCATGAAAAGGGGGTATTCTGGGCAGATGAGGTCACTAGAATAAGATTAAGATTATAGGAAGGCTGTTAAGTAAATGTAAGATAAGGTCCGCCTTCCACTGTACAATCAAATAAAGGACATACTAATGAGATTATTCTTATCTGCTCCATGAAGCCTCGTCTTCAGGGAACTCTGAGCTGATGCCTGGTAGCCCAGCTCTTCTGAACCAATTGAAAAGAATCCTTTCCGTGAAAGAGTTTTTGTGGTTCCAAATTCTTATTAAATCACTCTCTTCTCTCTCCCCCCTTCCCCGTTCTCCCAGCCTGCTTCACTGAGGAAAACGCTGCCCCATTCTCATGAAACAGGGAAGCCTGCTAAGGTCTGCAGGCATAAAAGGAATTTAAAGGTTTCCTTGGTCTCTGAGCCCGAAGTGTGTTGCTCAACCTGCTCTCAGGGAAAAAACAAAGAGCCTTGATGAGTTGATCAGCCAACTGCCCTGGTGTACATCCTGCCTCCATGGCTGAGCTCAAGCTGCCAGCTGGGTCTGGCAATATTATTACCAAGTATCTGAGACTCTGTGTAGCCAGTAAGAG